ATGAGGAATTTCCCCACGAATCATTATCACTCAATTCTGCAAGTGGTTCTGATTTACTATCGCTGTTCTCTAGCCGGTCTAAAACCGCTTTTGACCTAAAGGGACGCTTTTTGGACGCCATGGACTTTTCTACGTTTTCCAGGCAGAAAGAACAGTAAAAAATGCAGGCAGAGGACAGGACAAAGCACTCGGGACCAAATGTATGTGAAATGGGTTGAAAAATCAAAAAATCATGAAAATCATTTTGAAAACAAAATTTCCTGCCGCCGGCGGGCGCCCGTACATCCCGACGTCACAGGGCCTGGAACACGGAAGTCGGCATCAGCCAGAGGAGATGGCCGGGGACGCTGCAGGGGACACATCGCGGGAGCCAAGGACAAGGTAAGCGCTGTAGGGACTCCCTATGCAGCGCTGCATGGTAAGCCCGAGTGTAAAAAAAAAAAAAAAGCTGAATGAATCGATTTCATTCAGGTAAATGCTTGCTTATAGCAAAGTAATTCTTTGCTATAAGCAAATTGTGTAAAAAAAAAAAAAAAAAATACTGATCACTTCCCCAAAGTAGTACAATGTTGCTATGGTAACATTGTACTACTTTGGTCATAGAAAAATAATGAAAAAAAAAATCTTAAAAAAAAAAAAAAATTTAATAAAAAATTTAAAATAATAAAAAAATTTAAAAAAAATTTTAAAAAAAAATAGTGTCCCTGTTCACCGCCATGCCAGTTCTATGATGACGCTGTACTGCACTGGTGACAGTATGTAAAAAAAAAAATAGTGAAATAGTGAAAATAATTTTTTTAATTTTTTAATTTTTCCGAAAAAATTATGACAAAAAAATACAACTTCAAAAAACTTTGCCATGCCTCTTATGAAATACGACGGACTGTCTACTCTGCAAAAAGGGGTCATTTGGGGATATCTGTACTATTCTGACATTTGGGGGATATCTGTACTGTTCTGACATTTGGGGGATCTCTGTACTGTTTCTGACATTCTTGGACCTCAAGAAATTAGATTGGCTGTCAGTACTTCAGGATTGATCAATATTCAGATCTATACCATAGTTTGTGAACTCTATAACTTTCCTACAAACTAAATAATACATCCTAATTTGGGTTATTTTCACCAAAGACATGTAGCAGAATACATCTCGGCCTAAATTTATGAAGAACAATTATTTATTTGTAAACTTTTATAACAGAAATAAAGAAAAATGTGGGTTTTTTTTCAAAATTTTCAGTCTTTTTTTGTTAATTTAGCAAAAAAAATAAAAAACCCCAGCGGTGATTAAATACTACCAAAAGAAATCTCTAGTTGTGTGAAGAAAATGATAAAATTTTTAGTTTGGGTACAATGTTGTATGACCGCCGCAATTGTCATTCAAAGTGTGAGAGCGCTGAAACCTGAAAATGGCCTGGGCAGGAAGGGGTAAAATTGCACGGTATTGAATTGGTTAAACAAACATCCATGTTTGGGTAACTTATTTGGCTAAACAAAATATATATATTTTAAGAATTCGATTCGAGTCGAATAAATTCGCTGTGAATTTAACTTAAAAAAGGGTGTTTCTAGGCTTCAGAGAGACTTAATATTAGTGCAGAACACTGTACCTTTAATTTTAAATGCCCTTGGAGTCTGCTGGGGAAGAGAAATAATACTGTCAGTCAGTATGACATGCAGATGAGTGCCGTCGATCTTAGAATCACCGCACACTTCACTCATTTTGGGCAGTCACGGGGCCAAAACCAGAGTGTGGAGCCACAGTGTGGCGGTGGAGGCAGCAGCAATGGGAGGCCATACAGCACCCTATGACAAAAATGGAAACCACCAGCAGTGTGAGGAGACCTGAAAGTGGCACATGGCAGAGTGTGGCGATAGAGACAGCAGCAATGGGAGGCCGTACAGGGACCCATGACACACTCTGGACCTGGCAGCAGCATGAGGAGGCGGGGGTACAGGGGCCCATGACAGATTACGGGCCTGGCAGCAGCATGAGGAGTCGGTACAGGGGCCCATGGCAGATTACGGGCCTGGCAGCAGCAATGGGAGGCCGTACAGGGACCCATGACACACTCTGGACCTGGCAGCAGCATGGGGAGGCGGTACAGGGGCCCATGACAGATTACGGGCCTGGCAGCAGCATGAGGAGTCGGTACGGGGGCCCATGACACACTCTGGACCTGGCAGCAGCATGAGGAGGCGGTACAGGGGCGCATGACAGATTACGAGCCTGGCAGCAGCAACTTGGACAGGCGTGCTCGCAAACTGTTGTCTCTTGGAAACGGATTCCAAGAAAGACTGCTGACGGAATCCGTGAAGAGGAGTAGCAGGAGAAGGAGCATCTGAACGAGCGGAATATGCCAACAAGCGACAACAGTGGCCCATGACAGATTACGGGCCTGGCAGCAGCATGAGGAGTCGGTACGGGGGCCCATGGCAGATTACGGGCCTGGCAGCAGCTATGGGAGGCCCGTAATCTGCCAGCACCCTATGACAAAAAATGGAACCCACCAGCAGTGTGAGGAGACCTGAAAGTGGCACATGGCAGAGTGTGGCGATGGAGACAGCAGCAATGGGAGGCCGTACAGGGACCCATGAGAGACTCTGGACCTGGCAGCAGCATGAGGAGGCGGTATATAGGGGCCCATGGCAGATTAGGGGCCTGGCAGCAGCTATGGGAGGCCCGTAATCTGCCAGCACCCTATGACAAAAAATGGAACACACCAGCAGTGTGAGGAGACCTGAAAGTGGCACATGGCAGAGTGTGGCGATGGAGGCAGCAGCAATGGGAGGCCGTACAGGGACCCATGAGAGACTCTGGACTTGGCAGCAGCATGAGGAGGCGGTATAGGGGCCCATGGCAGATTAGGGGCCTGGCAGCAGCTATGGGAGGCCCGTAATCTGCCAGCACCCTATGACAAAAAAATGGAACACACCAGCAGTGTGAGGAGACCTGAAAGTGGCACATGTTTGGGGCATGATTCATGGCGGATTTAGTCAGTTGTGTCAGGAACTGGTGGTTTGAAATCCAGACTAATCCACGCCTGATTCATTTTCACAAACGTGAGTCTCTCCACACTTTGGGTGGACAGTCGTGTCCTCCGCGGAGTTGCAATACCTCCTGCCGCACTAAACACGCGCTCCGATGCCACGCTACTGGCCGGGCATGACAGCCTTTCAAGGGCAAATTCAGCTAGTTGGGGCCAAAGGTCAAGTTTCGTTGCCCAGTAGTCAAGGGGATTGTCTACCTCGGTTGGGCAGGGTGCTGTCCAAGTAGGCCTAAGCCTGTTGTTTGAGGTCCTGCTCCAGGTCCACCTGATGCTGCTGCTGCTGCTGCTGGGCTGGTTAGTAGTTTCCTCACTGCGCTGGTGAAGAAAGCTACTCATCATCGACTGCAGACTGAGGCAGCCGCTGCTGCTGGTGGAGCTGCCACTGCTCCTACCACCCCACCCCTCCCCTGCTGCCATGGCAGCGGAACACGAGCGCACAGGGCCCACAGTGTGTCTGAGGATGGGACGTTGGCGCAGACAGGCAGAGACCAGCTGACTACATAGGTGTTTTTTATAGTACGTTATTTTGGCCTCCCTCTCAGCAGGTGTGAAAAAGGCCACCATTTTTGAACGGTAGCGAGCGAGGGTCCAACAAGGTGGACAGCCAAAAGTCATCCTCTGTCTGATGGTTATTATTCGGCTGTCGCTACGCAAGCAACCGAGCATGCTATGGGGCCATTTGTGCCAAGGAATGCGAGGGACTCCCTGCCTCCATCTCCACAGCATACTGCCACGGTGCGTCTAGGTCCTCTGTCTCCTCTTCCTCCTCCTCTACCAGATGCTCCTGCTCCTCCACTCCTGTCCGCTGAGTGGAAAAAAAACACCCATTTCACTCAATAATTCCTGAGCACCAATGTCCTCCTCTACCTCCTCCTCTTCTTCCAGTCCTGCCCCCACAGGGGCCATGTGGCGTTGAGATCTGTGCGCCACGTCTACCGCACCCTGACCAGCCATTGTTAACAGCATTTGTTCCAGGACGTGCAACAGAGGAATGACGTCGTTCATTCATCCCATAGTCCTGCCGACTCACGAATAGCGTGGCCTCCTCAAAGGGCCTGAGCAAGCGCAGGTGTCACGCATGAGCTGCCAATGGCTGACATCTAAGTTACACAGGGAGTACCTTTATCTGCTTTTAACATCAGGAAATCTGTGATGGCCTTTTGCTGTTCGTAAAGGCGGTCTAACATATGTAGGGTTGAATTCCACCTTGTTGCAACGTCACAGCATGAGGAGTCGGTATAGGGGCCCATGGCAGATTAGGGGCCTGGCAGCAGTTATGGGAGGCCCATAATCTGCCAGCACCCTATGACAAAAAAATGGAACACACACAGCAGTGTGAGGAGACCTGAAAGTGGCACATGGCAGAGTGTGGCGATGGAGACAGCAGCAATGGGAGGCCGTACAGGGACCCATGAGAGACTCTGGACCTGGCAGCAGCATGAGGAGGCGGTATAGGGGCCTACGGCAGATTAGGGGCCTGGCAGCAGCTATAGGAGGCCCGTAATCTGCCAGCACCCTATGTCAAAAAAAATTCAACACACACAGCAGTGTGTGAGGAGACCTGAAAGTGGCAGTGGCACATGGCAGAGTGTGGCGATGGAGACAGCAGCAATGGGAGGCCGTACAGGGACCCATGACAGACTCTGGACTTGGCAGCAGCATGAGGAGGCGGTATATAGGGGGCTTATGGCAGATTAGGGGCCTGGCAGCAGCTATAGGAGGCCCGTAATCTGCCAGCACCCTATGTCAAAAAATTTCAACACACCAGCAGTGTGAGGAGACCTGAAAGTGGCACATGGCAGAGTGTGGCGATGGAGACAGCAGCAATGGGAGGCCGTACAGGGACCCATGACAGACTCTGAACTTGGCAGCAGCATGAGGAGGCGGTATATAGGGGCCCATGGCAGATTAGGGGCCTGGCAGCAGCTATAGGAGGCCCGTAATCTGCCAGCACCCTATGTCAAAAAATTCAACACACCAGCAGTGTGAGGAGACCTGAAAGTGGCACATGGCAGAGTGTGTGCGATGGAGACAGCAGCAATGGGGGAGGCCGTACAGGGACCCATGACAGACTCTGGACTTGGCAGCAGCATGAGGAGGCGGTATATAGGGGCCCATGGCAGATTAGGGGCCTGGCAGCAGCTATGGGAGGCCCGTAATCTGCCAGCACCCTATGTCAAAAAATTCAACACACCAGCAGTGTGTGAGGAGACCTGAAAGTGGCACATGGCAGAGAGTGTGGCGATGGAGACAGCAGCAGCAAATGGGAGGCCGTACAGGGACCCATGACAGACTCTGGACTTGGCAGCAGCATGAGGAGGCGGTATATAGGGGCCCATGGCAGATTAGGGGCCTGGCAGCAGCTATGGGAGGCCCGTAATCTGCCAGCACCCTATGTCAAAAAATTTAACACACCAGCAGTGTGAAGAGACCTGACCTGAAAGTGGCACATGGCAGCAGAGTGTGGCGATGGAGACAGCAGCAATGGGAGGCCGTACAGGGACCCATGACAGACTCTGGACTTGGCAGCAGCATGAGGAGGCGGTATATAGGGGGGCCATGGCAGATTAGGGGCCTGGCAGCAGCTATGTGAGGCCCGTAATCTGCCTGCACCCTATGTCAAAAAATTTAACACACCAGCAGTGTGTGAGAGAGACCTGAAAGTGGCACATGGCAGCAGAGTGTGGCGATGGAGACAGCAGCAATGGGAGGCCGTACAGGGACCCATGACAGACTCTGGACTTGGCAGCAGCAGAGGAGGCGGTATATAGGGGCCCATGGCAGATTAGGGGCCTGGCAGCAGCTATGTGAGGCCCGTAATCTGCCTGCACCCTATGTCAAAAAATTTAACACACCAGCAGTGTGAAGAGACCTGAAAGTGGCACATGGCAGAGTGTGGCATGGAGACAGCAGCAATGGGAGGGTACAGGGACCCATGACAGACTCTGGACTTGGCAGCAGCATGAGGAGGCAGGGGCCCATGGCAGATTGGGGAGGCAGCAGCTATGGGAGGCCCGTAATGCCTGCACCCTATGTCACACACACCAGCAGTGTGAAGAGACCTGAAAGACTGGCAGCAGGGCAGCAGCAGGGAGGAGGCTGGCATATATAGGGGCCCATGGCAGATTAGGGGCAGCAGGCAGGGGTATATAGGCAGCAGCTAGCAGCTATGTGAGGCCCGTAATCTGCCTGCACCCTATGTCAAAAAATTTAACACACCAGCAGTGTGAGAGAGACCTGAAAGTGGCACATGGCAGCAGAGTGTGGCGATGGAGACAGCAGCAATGGGAGGCCGTACAGGGACCCATGACAGACTCTGGACTTGGCAGCAGCAGCATGAGGAGGCGGTATATAGGGGGCCCATGGCAGATTAGGGGCCTGGCAGCAGCTATGTGAGGCCCGTAATCTGCCTGCACCCTATGTCAAAAAATTTAACACACAGCAGTGTGTGAAGAGACCTGAAAGTGGCACATGGCAGCAGAGTGTGGCGATGGAGGACAGCAGCAATGGGAGGCCGTACAGGGACCCATGACAGACTCTGGACTTGGCAGCAGCATGCAGGAGGAGGCGGTATATAGGGGCCCATGGCAGATTAGGGGCCTGGCAGCAGCTATGTGAGGCCCGTAATCTGCCAGCACCCTATGTCAAAAAATTTAACACACCAGCAGTGTGAGAGAGAGACCTGAAAGTGGCACATGGCAGCAGCAGAGTGTGGCGATGGAGACAGCAGCAATGGGAGGCCGTACAGGGACCCATGGGACCCATGACTCTGACTCTGGACTTGGCAGCAGCATGAGGAGGGAGGCGGTATATATAGGGGCCCATGGGCAGATTAGGGGCCTGGCAGCAGCTATGTGAGGCCCGTAATCTGCCTGCACCCCCTATGTCAAAAAATTTAACACACCAGCAGTGTGTGAAGAGAGACCTGAAAGTGGCACATGGCAGCAGAGTGTGGCGATGGAGACAGCAGCAATGGGAGGCCGTACAGGGACCATGACAGACTCTGGACTTGGCAGCAGCAGAGGAGGCGGTATATAGGGGGCCCATGGCAGATTAGGGGCCTGGCAGATTAGGGGCAGCAGCTATAGGAGGGCCCGTAATCTGCCTGCACCCTATGTCAAAAAATTTAACACACCAGCAGTGTGAAGAGACCTGAAAGTGGCACATGGCAGCAGAGTGTGGCGATGGAGACAGCAGCAATGGGAGGCCGTACAGGGACCCATGACAGACTCTGGACTTGGCAGCAGCATGAGGAGGGTATGGGTATATAGGGGCCCATGGCAGATTAGGGGCCTGGCAGCAGCTATGTGAGGCCCGTAATCTGCCTGCACCCTATGTCAAAAAATTTAACACACCAGCAGTGTGAAGAGACCTGAAAGTGGCACATGGCAGCAGAGTGTGGCGATGGAGACAGCAGCAATGGGAGGCCGTACAGGGGACCCATGACAGACTCTGGACTTGGCAGCAGCATGAGGAGGCGGTATATATAGGGGCCCATGGCAGATTAGGGGCCTGGCAGCAGCTATGTGAGGCCCGTAATCTGCCTGCACCCTATGTCAAAAAATTTAACAACCAGCAGTGTGAAGAGACCTGAAAGTGGCACATGGCAGCAGTGTGGCGATGGAGACAGCAGCAATGGGAGGCCGTACAGGGACCCATGAGAGACTCTGGACTTGGCAGCAGCATGAGGAGGCGGTATATAGGGGCCCATGGCAGATTAGGGGCCTGGCAGCAGCTATGTGAGGCCCGTAATCTGCCTGCACCCTATGTCAAAAAATTTAACACACCAGCAGTGTGAAGAGACCTGAAAGTGGCACATGGCAGCAGAGTGTGGCGATGGAGACAGCAGCAATGGGAGGCCGTACAGGGACCCATGACAGACTCTGGACTTGGCAGCAGCAGAGGAGGCGGGTATATAGGGGCCCATGGCAGATTAGGGGGGCCTGGCAGCAGCTATGTGAGGCCCGTAATCTGCCTGCACCCTATGTCAAAAAATTTAACACACACAGCAGTGTGAAGAGACCTGAAAGTGGCACATGGCAGCAGAGAGTGTGGCGATGGAGACAGCAGCAATGGGAGGCCGTACAGGGACCCATGAGAGACTCTGGACTTGGCAGCAGCATGAGGAGGCGGGTATATAGGGGCCCATGGCAGATTAGGGGCCTGGCAGCAGCTATGTGAGGCCCGTAATCTGCCTGCACCCTATGTCAAAAAATTTAACACACCAGCAGTGTGTGAGAGACCTGAAAGTGGCACATGGCAGCAGAGTGTGGCGATGGAGACAGCAGCAATGGGAGGCCGTACAGGGACCCATGACAGACTCTGGACTTGGCAGCAGCATGAGGAGGCGGGTATATAGGGGCCCATGGCAGATTAGGGGCCTGGCAGCAGCTATGTGAGGCCCGTAATCTGCCTGCACCCTATGTCAAAAAATTTAAACACACACAGCAGTGTGAAGAGACCTGAAAGTGGCACATGGCAGCAGAGTGTGGCGATGGAGACAGCAGCAATGGGAGGCCGTACAGGGACCCATGACAGACTCTGGACTTGGCAAGCAGCATGAGGAGGCGGTATATAGGGGCCCATGGCAGATTAGGGGCCTGGCAGCAGCTATGTGAGGCCCGTAATCTGCCTGCACCCTATGTCAAAAAATTTAACACACCAGCAGTGTGAAGAGACCTGAAAGTGGCACATGGCAGCAGAGTGTGGCGATGGAGACAGCAGCAATGGGAGGCCGTACAGGGACCATGACAGACTCTGGACTTGGCAGCAGCATGAGGAGGCGGTATATAGGGGCCCATGGCAGATTAGGGGCCTGGCAGCAGCTATGTGAGGCCCGTAATCTGCCTGCACCCTATGTCAAAAAATTTAACACACCAGCAGTGTGAAGAGACCTGAAAGTGGCACATGGCAGCAGAGTGTGGCGATGGAGACAGCAGCAATGGGAGGCCGTACAGGGACCCATGACAGACTCTGGACTTGGCAGCAGCATGAGGAGGCGGGGGTATATAGGGGCCCATGGCAGATTAGGGGCCTGCAGCAGCTATGTGAGGCCCGTAATCTGCCTGCACCCTATGTCAAAAAATTTAACACACCAGCAGCAGTGAAGAGACCTGAAAGTGGCACATGGCAGCAGAGTGTGGCGATGGAGACAGCAGCAATGGGAGGCCGTACAGGGACCCATGACAGACTCTGGACTTGGCAGCAGCATGAGGAGGCGGGTATATAGGGGCCCATGGCAGATTAGGGGCCTGGCAGCAGCTATGTGAGGCCCGTAATCTGCCTGCACCCTATGTCAAAAAATTTTAACACACCAGCAGTGTGAAGAGACCTGAAAGTGGCACATGGCAGCAGAGTGTGGCGATGGAGACAGCAGCAATGGGAGGCCGTACAGGGACCCATGAGAGACTCTGGACTTGGCAGCAGCATGAGGAGGCGGTATATAGGGGCCCATGGCAGATTAGGGGCCTGGCAGCAGCTATGTGAGGCCCGTAATCTGCCTGCACCCTATGTCAAAAAATTTAACACACACAGCAGCAGTGTGAAGAGACCTGAAAGTGGCACATGGCAGCAGAGTGTGGCGATGGAGACAGCAGCAGCAATGGGAGGCCGTACAGGGACCCATGACAGACTCTGGACTTGGCAGCAGCATGAGGAGGCGGGCGGTATATAGGGGGCCCATGGCAGATTAGGGGCCTGGCAGCAGCTATGTGAGGCCCGTAATCTGCCTGCACCCTATGTCAAAAAATTTAACACACCAGCAGTGTGAAGAGACCTGAAAGTGGCACATGGCAGCAGAGTGTGGCGATGGAGACAGCAGCAATGGGAGGCCGTACAGGGACCCATGAGAGACTCTGGACTTGGCAGCAGCATGAGGAGGAGGTATATAGGGGCCCATGGCAGATTAGGGGCCTGGCAGCAGCTATGTGAGGCCCGTAATCTGCCTGCACCCTATGTCAAAAAATTTAAACACACCAGCAGCAGTGTGAAGAGACCTGAAAGTGGCACATGGCAGCAGAGTGTGGCGATGGAGACAGCAGCAATGGGAGGCCGTACAGGGACCCATGAGAGACTCTGGACTTGGCAGCAGCATGAGGAGGCGGTATATAGGGGCCCATGGCAGATTAGGGGCCTGGCAGCAGCTATGTGAGGCCCGTAATCTGCCTGCACCCTATGTCAAAAAATTTAACACACCAGCAGTGTGAAGAGACCTGAAAGTGGCACATGGCAGCAGAGTGTGGCGATGGAGACAGCAGCAATGGGAGGCCGTACAGGGACCATGACAGACTCTGGACTTGGCAGCAGCATGAGGAGGCGGTAGGGTATATATAGGGGCCCATGGCAGATTAGGGGCCTGGCAGCAGCTATGTGAGGCCCGTAATCTGCCTGCACCCTATGTCAAAAAATTTAACACACCAGCAGTGTGAAGAGACCTGAAAGTGGCACATGGCAGCAGAGTGTGGCGATGGAGACAGCAGCAATGGGAGGCCGTACAGGGACCCATGAGAGACTCTGGACTTGGCAGCAGCATGAGGAGGCGGTATATAGGGGCCCATGGCAGATTAGGGGCCTGGCAGCAGCTATGTGAGGCCCGTAATCTGCCTGCACCCTATGTCAAAAAATTTAACACACAGCAG